TTTGAGGTACAGGTCAAATCAATGACGGCAACTAATTATCGGAAAATTATCGTTTATTAAACCACTACGGTCAATTTCCCCGGGTCGCCCAAGGTCGATTCCCTGTTTAGCGACGGTGTCTACCCATGACGGTCTACTTAACGTCAGGATTCTACTTTGAGTTTTGCGAGCGGTGCACCACGACGCGATCACGATCGGTCTTCGCGGTGAGTGCGGCGTGTCAAAGGTGGTTGGGGAAGTGAAGGTCTGATAGTACTCTATTAAATGCGCGAGCAATTTGGCGATCGCACGAATGTCAGGCGACACTCCCGTTGATGTGCGAGTAATTTGGCGATCGTCCGAAGGTCATGAGGCACTCCTGTTGATGCGCGAGTAATTCGGCGATCGCCCGAAGGTCATAAGGCACTCCCGTTGATGCGCGAGCAATTTGGCCGTCACGTGAACGTCTGGTGACACTCCCGTTGATCGGCAACGGTCTCGGTTACGGGTGGTCACGAAGAGAAAAGAAAGAGAGAGGGAGGAGTACTCACTCTTATTCCCTTGGTTGTTACTCTGCTACTATTGCTGCTACTAATGTGGCTATTAATGCTGCTACTAATGCTGTCACTATTACTACTATTAATGCTGCCACTATTGCTACTATTAATTCTGCCACTATTACTGCTGCTAATGTTGCTACTATAGCTGCTTTGTTTACTGACACTATTGCTGCTTTGTTCACTGCCACTGCTTTATTCACTGCTACTTTATTTCTCCAGATCTCCGCTCGCAACTAGAGCTCAGTTAACACTGACGCGGCTTTTCGAGGCGTCGCGTCGCGTATCGATTACCTCCTTTTCTCATCGTGGGTTTTTATCTGATTAGTCGAGGTTGTTGCTAACCCGATCATCAGCGCCGTCTGTTTTAATGTTCTAGCCCGCGCATATTTACTACTGGCTGATTTTTGGCGCCTAATTTCCCTATTTATCGATCAGATAGCGTCGGTTTTACCCTATTTGTCAATCTACCCCTATCTTATTACCGATTGATTGGTCAAGTCGCGGGCGTCGGTCAGTTTCGCGTCATTATCACCTATCGCTTTCCCGCACGCGCTCGTTAGTCATACCGATTTCCCCTACATAAATATCGGTATCGTCTATCTTATACGCTTTACGTTATTCCCTCGCTCGCGTTCGATCGCTTTCCTATCGGTCATCTTACTCGAACTTATACGGTTGCCCCTCTCGGTCAAGCTCAAGTTGCTAACAAGCGCGTCACAACATGGCCGCCGCTCGGCACACGCGCTAATATCGCGTCCCATTGTCGCCGTTCCTGTCGCTTCCTGGGGCGCGTGAGGTCAATCGTGTATATGTATGTGTGTGCATAAGTGTCCAGTTTAGTGTGTAGGAAACGATGCGTTTCACGAGTGTGAGTATGTTCGGGGCACCTGTAGTACCTGCTGCCGGCGTCTCGGATCAGCTAGTCTCGGCTGCGACCTTCTTCGTTGTCTGGCTTCCTGGGGAAGTGTCGGTCCGGGTTATAGGTGCGCGAGTGGCTTTGCGCGACCATAAGGGTCGTGCACACCGATTTGGTAGAACCTGAGAGTTATATTTTCGCGAGGTCATGAATATGCGCACGTGTGAGGTAAACGGCATCAGCTGATCGGTCCGCATCCTCTTGTCGGGAGAAGATTCACATTTTTGGAACATTTTCAAAAACGAATAACTCGGATAAAAGTTGTTGTACAAAAAGAAATGGAAATGTAGCTTCAAGTTTCTAATTTTCAGATATGAGTTAGAAAATTTTTTAGTAGGCGGTTTTCGAGTAGTCATCGACAAACTAAATAAAGTTTTTTTATATTTTTCTGCATCTTTAAAATAAAATGTGAATTTCAACAGTTTTTTTTTCTGTCATGCATCTTTGAATCTTTTCTAGGCAATTTAATTAGCTTGGCTTTGATTTTTTAAAAAACTCTGTACTGTGATTTGGCTGACGGTAATAGTCGATCAAAGCAAAATACTCCATTTTGATTATGAGAATCAATTACTCGGAATCCCGTAATCGTACAGAAAATTAAAGTAGAAATTTAAAAACTACAAAACATTCTTCATAACATGTGATTAGTGGTTGTTGATAAAAAAAGTTTTTCCGAAGTGACTGAGAAAAAATTGAAAATTTACGAATTGAAAAATGTTTAGAAACTTTGGATATAATAAATGAATGAAGAATGTCGACTGTAATGTTTCAATCTCAAAATATCCCTAAAAACTCTCATGCTCATCATGCATTTCCCGGCGCTCACATTACTGTTGACCACCTGTCAACGATTCTTAAGTCGGTTAGTTAGGTCTTGCTAGTACTTTCTGTCCATCTTTGTCCTCGTCCCCGTTACTTGCTGGATCCTTACCTAAAGATTAAGTCTGTCGTGCTTCATTCCAGCAGCTGGGAATTCGATTCGACTCCAAATTGGACGCCTGGTAGTTTAGTACGACTCCGATGGGCTTGTTAGGGAACAACCCGGGGCATAGTGCCCCAACCTATCACATTGGTAGAATTTTTGGCTCCCTCGTTTTTGGTTGCTTTTAATTCTAGCACTCAGATCATCGGTCCCTTTCCCAATTTCATCCAAAGTACCTCTCACGTAATGGAGAATGGCTTTGCCTTCCTCCTTGGGTTTGCTGCTGTGCCACAGCCTTCGTCTGTGCCTGTAGGGATGACGCGACTCGTAGATTATCACTGCCATTGATCGATTACCCTAGTTTTGGAGATTATGGTACTGAGCTGGCATAGACTGCATTATATCGTACTACTCGCCGCACACTGCTCCAGCACCGACTCGCTGTCTAAAAGCCTCTGTCATTGGTGCTCGTGAAATATTGACCCCTTCTTGCTCTTTTTCTTTTCTTTAGATATAGATTTGCTGGTCTTCTGCTCATCTACCTAGACCATCACAGCACTTTCTGTAACATGAATTTTCTTACTCTACCCTTGGTAGGCTATGTTTTCTACCGGCAGACTACTTTTTCTCGCACTTTAGATGTTTCTCTAGCTTCTCATCGTAGTAATGGATTTGATCGATGCGATCAAATCCATTTCATGCGATCGATTGTTACGACTAACGTAGGGGCTAGTAAGACTGCTCAGCTACACGTGAACACGGTCTCTGAATATATAAAAGAGAAAAATAAAGAGAGAGAGAGAGAGCGCCAGAGAAAAAAAAGAGTGAGAGAAAGACGAGCACCGAATTTCGCAACTGCTACTGTTTATTGATACTCCTGCCGATCGCTGGCCGTTGCCGAGAAGGAGAAGGATCGCGCGCTCTACCCGCGTGAATCCTTGTCGGGATTCTCACATGCACCGGTTCCAGAATCCATCACTAGCTAGGTGGGACTCAGCTACAAAAAATATAAACTCAATCTGATACGCCCCGCGCAAGCATATATTCGCAAACATACACAGTAAAAACGGGAGTAAGCCACGAAGCTCAGAAAACTCACAAAATTGAAACGAAAACAAAAATAGATAACGCACACGATCCTATAGTCTGATTCGAAGTTACTTTTAAACTTTCTTTTTATCTCTTCCTTTCTCTCTCGTCAACTCTTCTTTGCCCTTCTCGATCTCACGTTTGCCGTATCTCTTTTTCTTGAGCAGTCATCGGACACTCCTGGTTTTGTCAATCATCCCATTTGCCGCATCTCGAACAAACAAAACAGATATGAGAGTGCACACATACACGCTAAAAGTGACGAATGAATGATGGTGAGAGCCAACGGACGAATCGATGAACCATGATTCTCCATTACAAGAAATATAATTGTAAGTGTTATGGTCTATGATTATTTTACTTTTATCCAGAAACTTTATACCTATATTCTCTCTTATTGTTACTATAAATCGCTTGTAATGATAGTTGTCTATTCGTTCCTCATATACTAAAGCAGTAACTTCAATGCTACATTTACGTTACTGATTAAAGCTTTTATTTTTGAAGGATTTTTTTTCTAACTCATTTCAATGTCGCGAGTCCCTCGTGTTTAAAAAGTCATTTGAAATTTCTTCACAAATTTTGATCCTGAACTACTTTATCTGATTCAATAAGGGTGATCGATCTTTTGCGTTCTTTATTCGGGTTACTTCCATGGTTTTTATTTCCCTTTGACAAGCTTGAATTTTTATAAGTTCCGAATCACTTAACAGATTAAATAATTTATTATTGTTTATTCTCAATTTATTATTTTTAATTAATTATTACACACATTCACACCAAAATCTACCACTAATAGAGATACTTGCAACTAGAAAGCTATCGAAACGATGTTAAGAGTCTGAAAGTTAAGAGTCTCAACGTTTTTGGTCCACAAGCTCACTTAAACATTTAATTATCTGCAATACTTATAAGCTTAAAAAAAACGCGTCTTGAACGAATTTTCAATATTCAATCTTGATTTAACCTTCTAAAGGTCATGCTAAAAAGAATTTATAAATATCATTTTGGACGTAAAATTTCCTGCTCATTTCAAATACGGTGTAAAAAAAGAGGTTCCCTATAAAGAAAATCACTTTGACCTTCAAGTGACCATAAAAATTAATCACAAGATCAAAACTGATATAATGTGAAGATGACCCTTATTGTCCTGAACAACTTTTATTTGAACCAATTTTTGATGTACTCCAACTTTCCTAAATATTTGGATGGGTTGATTCAAATTACTCACCCTATATACACGAGTTTACATTTTCTAAAGAAACCCCGATATAACGAAAAACTTAAATTGGTAAATTAATTAATTTTCATCTCAAATATCAATGTAAAATTTCATGATTTGTCCAAATTTGACATTATTTTTGGATAACAATTGGATCGTAAAATTTATTTTCAAAATAATTCAATAATAATAAATTTCAATTTAATATTTTAAATTTCGAAAATAAATATTTTGATACTTAATTAATATTAAATTTCATAATATATCATCACTTAATCAAAATTAATAATTACTAATAACATATTTTTACAGGGATTTATCATCTCGAATGGAAGTTACTTTTTGTGATAAAACCATTCCGAACGATGTAGGATTCGTAATGGAGCTTTCGCAGAGAATAACTTATGAACAAATGGCAAGAGCGGTTTCTCAGAGACTTAATACAGACCCATATTTACTACAATTTTTCAAGTGCCAAAAGTAAGTTTCATTTTCTTTTAAGTATGTAACAAAACTCGATCCTTTGTTACCAATTCTTTTGCGGGGTAAGTGAGGCACTTTCGCTCATGACAATTGAGAGAGAAGAACGAGGGGAGGTTGATAAATAAATTATACACAGACAAGAATCAAATCTCACTTACAACCTATTATTATTAATAATTATTCACACTGAACATACGCGCGCATAACATAATCTAAATTACCGACCAACAAACTACAAATAGAACAATAAGCCACTTAAGATAATCACAAATGAACATTTCGCATTTCACTAATACTTAATCGCGTACTTAACCTATTACAAACTTACTTAAAAACTACGCGGACTAATACCGGGTAAATTGGCCGGCACGTGGGCGCCTGGACAATACACCGGTCGCAGCTTACGTCACTATGAATTAAACCTAGCGCGAACCTTCAGATAGCCGGCACGTGAGTGCCAGGCTATCTCTTTCCACGCACACCGGTCGTCGCATCAACAGAGAGAGAGTGTAGTGAGAAAGAAGAAAAGGAAGACTTGACCTTTTATCTCCTGTTCCTCGCAACGTCGAGAATCCTGAGCGATGCGCTGCCGCAGGAAGTACCGGGCGTCGTCGCTGGTCAGATCGTCGCTAACCGCTATCGCTGACCAGGTATCCGTAGGCGACGTTGACTCTCTTGGCAGGTGGGCTGGCTGCAGTTGCTGGCAAAGCCGTTGCCGGAAGGGTTGATCTTCCTTCCTCCCGGCTATCCCAAACTGCTCTCTCTGCTGGGCTCGGACTTCCGCACTCTCGTAGGACTAGGCTTAGACTCCCTCACTCTAGTAGGGCTCGGCTGCGACTCTCCTCACGCACTAATTCTTGCGCGCATCTTGCAGCCGCTCAGCGGCGCTCGCTCCTCTCCCTACCTTGACCTATTAGTTAGGCGGAACGCGACGCGTCGCTTATCGGTCACGCGTTGCGCGCCTGCCAATCCCTGCATGGGCCTAATACTCTCTCTCTCTCTCTCTCTCTCTTTCTCACTCTCTCTCCGCGCTCTTCAACTTTTCTTGCGCTCAACTGCGCTGGCTCGTCCTTGGCGCTGAAACAAAAGGCCAAGTGTTAGACGCATACTTAAATGCGCCCAATGTTGGCCACCACGCCTAGCCGAGTGGGGGAAGGAGAAACGCGGACGAGAGACCGGCACGCGGCCTGCTCTCGTCACAAGTATAGTTGTATCAACATTTTCATTCAACTTATATTTAAAAATTTTCAAAATGAAACAATTATGGATAAAAACGGATTACCGTTTCAATTCCAAAGGAAAAATGACGGCATCATTATCTAACGGTCACGTCATTGATAATCGATGGGTTGTACCGTATTGCCGTGATTTATTAAAAATGTTTAACTGTCAAATAAATGTGGAAATTTTTTCAAGAGTTTGAGCTGTAAAATATTTATATAAATACATTTATAAAGGATATGACGCAGCTACTGTAACTATTGGTAGTGAAAATATATCTAGAACTATCAGCTATGATGAGGTTGCTAGTTTTATAGAAACTGGGTATATGGGACCCGTTGAAGCATGTTATAGAATTTTCAGTAAGCCATTACAAGATATGAGTCAGGCTGTAGAAAGATTACCAGTTCATTCACCACATCGACAGTCCGTTATAATTTCTAATGTAGACAATTTTGTAGAAAATCTAAATCAAGCAAGTAGTAAGCTACTTGATTTTTTCAAATTAAACATTGGAAATGAAAATGCACGCAAGTATTTTTACAGAGATATTCCATCTTTTTTTACTTATAAAAAAGAAAAAGTTAATGAAATCATGAAATCTAAATGGGCTATACGTAAAAAACAGTTTAACTGTATTGAATGAATGTTTTCTATCAATCCTACACAAATAGAGCTCTTTCCCTTGACACTGTTATTATTGCACGTAAAAGAAGCTACCAGCTTTGATTTGCTTAAAACAGTTAATAGCATAATCCAACCTACATTTACAGCAGCATGCTTAGAACTAGGGCTAATAGAAGATGATCAAAAATGGGTCAAAGCAATCGAAGAAGCATCAATGTCGATGATGCTACGCCAGATTAGACAATTATTTACCCGAATTTTAATACAATGCCAACCAATCCTAAAGACTTATGGGATAAATTTAAAGATGCGTTATCTGAAAATTTTCCATGGACAAATAATTCTGTTGTGAGTCATAAAATGGCATACTCTGAAATAAATAATTTGCTAAATTATGAAGGTACAAGTTTGTCTGATTTCCTTTCTATGGATGAAACAGTGATTAAGCATATATTATCGGAAAATGTTAATGATTTATCACAAACAGAGTTTGGTAAAAAATTGGTAAAAAACAATATGAGCTGTTGAATGAACAGCAAAAAGAAATTGTTCAAATTGTTTTGGATAGAATATTTTTCTATTGATAACAATAATCTCGACAATAATTGCATATGTATCAATGGCCCAGGAGGGTCCGGAAAAACTTTTATTTATACAACTATTTACAATTTATTGTGTCCACAAGATATTAAAGTATCTTGAATGGCTTTTACTGGTATTGCAGCAATATTACTTCCAAAAGGAAAATCAGTGCACAAAATATTTGGTCTTCCTGTTTCAATGTATAGCAATTCATCATCAAACATAAAAGCACATTCTAAGGAAGGTCGTCTACTCATGGAAACAAAAGTTTTTATTTAGGAAGAAGCACCTATGGCTCCGAGATATGCTCTAGAAATTATAAACAGAACTCTTTAAAATATCATCGGCAATGACTTATCTTTTGGAGGTAAAATTATGGTTTTAGGAGGTGATTTTAGACAACTTCATTCAATTAAACTTAAAGGAAACACGCACGGAAACTTTAAAGTTTTCTATTAAATATAGCGTATTGTGGCAACATTTCCTCAAATATAATCTGTAACGGTAGTCGATTCGTACGATCGATACGTTCGTGATTCGGTAGCCCTCGCGGTGCTAGAGCGAACAATTAAGAGAGAGAGAGAGGGCGCGCGCGAGTTAAATTCAGGATTGCCTCAGCTGTTCGCCGATTTGTGCTCGCCGATTTTTCGAGTTGTTTGTTTTTTTTAAACGATTGTAGGTGTTGTGAGTATTGCTAGCAGCAGTAGCTCACAACAGCAGCGAAGAAGCAGCATTGTGCAGAACAGCAACATATACTGGTAGCAGCAACCGTTACCGGTGATCCAGGCAGCGCAGCAGCATCCCCAGGAGCCAACAGTAATATTGCTAATAATCGGTTACGGGTGATCACCGTAACCACACCGCAGGGTAGGTGCACCACATTTATTTCCGTACGACACGAATAATTCCACGCGTTTATTTTTAAGCGACCGTTACCTCTTTCGCGTTCTCGCCGAGAATTATAGTTCGCGAGAGAATCGAATTCTCTCTCTCTCTCTCTCTCTTCCCGAATAATTGTAAATCCTATACGCATGCCTAAGTCTTTTGGCCCTTTAAAGATTGTAAACGATGAATCCTATTAAATGGATCATTTTACTATTCGCCGCTTTACGTTCTTTCGTTCACCTTTAACTTAACGGAAAAGTTTCCTGAAATCTTTTTAAGTCGATTCATCTAGGGAACAGTGGAAATAAACCTTAGTCTACTCACACCTAAGATAAAGAAAGTGTCACAAGTCGGGTAACTTAAGGTGAGTTCAGCTCTGTTGGATAAGAGACATTGGAGCGAAAGTATCAATTATAAAGGCGAACACACGTTTACTCATACGTGAATAAGGGAGTGGCGGTTAGCTCTGCATCATGGGAGATTGTTCTTAGACAAACGCCGATTGCATCAGTTAATCCACCCCATTACAAATCTTACCACAAATATAAGAGTCTTATCTCATGAAATTGATTTAGCTAAATTTTTATTGTTAGTTGGTGACGGAACTCTGAACGATCAAAATGACAATTTAACTTTACCTGATCACTGTCTTTAAAAAAAAATGATGATATAGTTCTTAGTGTGTTTCAACGGTTGATCATAGAAAAGAAATTCGATGCAATGAGTAAATGTGCTATTTTGTCCGCTCGAAACATTGACATTGATGAATTAAATAAATTAGTTACTTATTTATTAGACGAAACTACTACCAGCATTGACAGCACCGAAAATTGTGACAATGGTGAATTTGACGAAATACTTTTACCGGAATATCTAAACTCATTGAATTCTTTCATTTTGCCTCCACATGAATTATGATTAAGAAAAAACAGTATTATAATGTTAATTAGGAATTTAAATATTCATGAAGGTTTGTGTAATGGTACACGTTTGAGAATTAGATTTCTCTATCATTTGTTGAAATATGAAATTTTAAATGGAGACAAATCAAATGATATTGTATTCTTAAATCAAATTTCATTATTTTGAACAAATGAATATCCATTTACTTTCAAAACACGCCAGTTTCCTGTTAAATTAGTGTTTACAATGATAATAAAGCTCAAGGTCAAGCATTTGATGATATTGTTGTTGATCTTCGTAGAGATGTGCTTAATCATGGTCAATTGTACGTAGCAATGTTGACAGTGCGCTCGTGGGATACACTAAAAATTTATCTTGGAAATTAGCAATGTATTAATAATAACGTTCAAAATTATGTTTTCAAAGAACTTTATACGTAAAAATCTTCTTCTGTCTATTAGTAAATCTTAATATTAGACGCATGAAGCGCACTGTGTCATTCTAGTAGTGATCAAAATTCCGATTAGTACTATAGTGTTCGAAATTGTGAAAAAGATAGATATTAATACTTATAACATATTAAGATACTTTTATATAGTCTATAAATTTGAGATATGACTATAAACAATTAATTACAGTCAATTCGGTCCTGTGTCGTACGCTGAGAATGCAGTATCACTCCACTATGGGGATGTGCGGAGAAACTGTCTCTACACTATGAGAGTACAATAGATAAAGCACTTACAATATCAATTGCTGACCACTCTCCGTTGATTGGC